AAAGAATTTCGATGTGAGCCTGAGGCAAAAGTTGTTTAGTTTGTTTTTCTACATAACATAGTATTTTTTCAGGTTTTTTGGATTTTTTTTTTTTTTTTGCTGGGACCTTCCCTTGCCCTTGCACGGGCTGGTAACCCGGGACCCAGGCGGCCCAGCTGGTAGCCTAGTTATTTATTCAATTTTTATTTTATTATTATTTTTTAACTTTATTATTATTATTATTAATTTTTTTTTATAACAAAACTTTTTTAATTAAAAAAATAAAAAAATTGTATGTGTGTGTGTGTGTGTGTGTGTGTGTGTGTGTGTGTCCCTCCCCGTACCCTCCTGATGGGGTCCCTTTTGGGGTAGGTCCATGTATGTTGGACCTACCCCAGCTGGGATAGGTCCTCCATCCGAACCAAGCCTGTTTTATTTAAAGGCTGATACACAAACACTAGGTTTTTGGTGAGGAATTTTGTTAATTCTGATTCTGTTTGAGATTGTTGTCTTCATTCAGTGAATCCCTGTTGTGGTTTATGTGAGGTCTGTGAGGTGTCGTAATTGTTGTAGTGTGGTTTGGGGGTTGCATTTGAAGGGCTGATAATTCATTGGATTACTGAGGACTTTTTTTGCAATTCCGATGAGCCTTTGCATCTTAAAGCCATTTCGTAGGAGACTGAGAATGGTTTGTTTTATTTCTTCCGCAGCATGCAGAGGTTCGGATTCGATTGTCATTATCGTTATGATTTGGGGTATTAGTAAGTTGAGTGATTGCTGGATGGGTCTGTTGGAGTTAGCTTGGATAAATCGGGTGATGGGAAAGTTGAGCTCTCTTCTTTTGTCATATTTGCTTGTTGTGTAGGTACCATTTTGCAGATTTGTGATGGTTATTGTAGTGTTAAGGAAGTTGGTTTGGGCTCCAACGGTGAAGCCATTTGCTTGTGTCTTATGTGTTGTTTGCTCATTTAGGGTCATCAGATGTAGTGGATATATATAATATTTGCTGCGTGTGCTGGTGATGGTTGGGTTCAGAAAGTCGTGGATTCTGTGATGATGTGAAAGTCATCAAAATAGCGGAAGACGTGTTGAAAAAGGTGCAGCATGTGTGCATTATTTTTGTGGGTTAACTTTTTCATGAATTTGAATTCATATTTGAAGAAGTAGATGTTGCACCAGACTGGTGAACAACTTACCCCCATCGGGATACCCAGTACCTGTCTCCAGATTTTGTTGCCGAGTGATGTGTATGAGTTTTTAATCAGCCAATTATTAATTTCATTGACTACATTGTGATTGATAATGAGGAATCCATTACGTGGGTTTATGTACCAGTCACATAAGGGTGTCCATTTGTCGTTATGGTGATGGAATTTGCAGGCGAGTTTAACCCCGTTGCCATAGGTAATCCTTGCCTGTTTGAATGCTAGTTTTGAAAAGAATAGGATGGCATCAGGTAAGCCATCCTTACTGTCGTCTATAGGTATAGTTTCATAGCAGCGAGTGATATCCGCTGAAAAGACAGTTGTTACGTGTTGGGGTAGATTATAAGTGTAATCTGTGGTTGAATCTATTGGCCACCAGCATGGGACCTTAATGCCAAGTTCTTCAAATGTTTTTCGAGTCATTTCACCACAGTGTTGTTTGACCATTCTTATGAGTGCGGCCAAGACAACTGTTGTGAGGTCTGCGAGGGGTGTAGTAATGACATCGGAGGCATTAGTTAACCATCTGAAGGAGTTTTTGTGTTTTTTGTAGGTAGCAAAAAGGTATGGTAGTGCCATTTTGCCGATAGGGATGTCAGGGAATTTGACGGCCAGTTGTTCATTCATGAGGTGTAGCAGATCAGCAGCTGTGATCCCGTGTGGTTCGAAGTCGGGACTACTAAGTCTTTGGAGGGCGAGGAATCTTACCAGATTGATACACATGACGACCGGAGTATTGGAGCTTTGTCAGCTCCGGAGATATAAAAGTGATTAGTGAGGTAGCTGATTTCATGTTTTACTGCATGTTCTTGCAAGCGCGCAGTGGTGTGGTGGCTGATATTTTCAAGATTCTTTTTTATAACTTTGTCAAAGTCTTGTTTGGCCTCGGTCTCATGGGCAGCATTTAGTGGCATCCCAAGTTTGAGTAAGATGGCTGTGAATTGTGACCACACCTGCTGCGCAACATTTCGTGCATCATCTATGTTAGTAGTGGCTGGTGGAATGTGGTTGAGTCCATTTGCCATTATTTTGCGTAGTTCAGTGTTGCTGGTGATGTTGAGATGTAACGTCGTGACATGTGCGGCTTCTTCTGTGGGTAGCATACCGGTCGGGAGTTCGTTCGTGTACTGTTGGAATTTCGGTTGTTGGCAATAGCAGGTTTGGGGCAATAGTTCTGTCCATGCAGTAAGGTCGAAGTCACGGAACACTGTTGCTGGCTTATATAGTGCTTTTGAAATATGGTCGTTGTAGGTCCATGAGAAGGTAAATTTTTCGAGTAGCGGTATTGCATCAGGTCTATATTTTTGGAGCATTTTTTCGAAGATATATTTAAATTTAAATCTGTCCATAAGGCGGTTTACATAGTGGAGTAAACTCTCTCTCTCTCTCTCTCTCTCTCTCACACACACACACACACACACACACACACAAAACACACACACAGACACACACACAAAACACACACACAGACGCACACACACACAAGGGAAAAAAAAAAAAAAAGGGTGACAGTGTATATTTCCATGTTCTAGCTGCAGATTCATTCCATTTTGCTCATCCTATCGATGGAAGTACCATGAGGCCGGCCGTGACGTTCGAGACTTACCTGTTCTCTCTCTCTCTCTCTCTCTCTCTCTCTCTCTCTCTCTCTCTCTCACACACACACACACACACACACACACACACACATACATAAAAAAAAAAGCCCCGGAAGCACCCCTCCCAGCGCCAGGTGGCGAGGTTGCATAAGGTGGAGGAGGTGTGCAAAAAAAAAAAAAAGAGAGAGAGAGAGAGAGAGAGAGAGAGAGAGAGAGAGAGAGTCTCCTCTTTTTGGGTGGGTGGGGGGGGCGGGATTTCCAAATACCCCCATAAGTTCAGATATATGTCAAAATGTCCCTAAAAGATATGGGCACAGTGGCATGGCCATTTCGGCTGACATATTTGTGTTATGCCCCTGTTAGGCGGGTGTGCGAATTCGCTTGGCCTTGTGCAATTTGCAAAGTTGGGCAGAGTCCGGTAGGGGTACATTGCAAAGATGGGGTCCAACTGATGGCTGGGGTGTTTCGCAAAATGTTTTTGTCATCGTCCTTTGTAGTAACAATAATAACTAGCTAAGCGCCCGTGGTGCGGGCGGTGCGGGCTATGCCCGCAGAAATAACAAATCCTGCAAGGTCAGGGTTTGGAGACACAGACACATCCTGGCGTGGCAGCTGCCTGACATGGGATACGCTTCAAAAATGAACAGTCCCCCAAATCACACAGGGACCCAATCTGCCTCAATGGTTATCTCATCAGGCAGCTGGGTTTCTCAAATCTGTGCGTGGGTTCAAACCCCAGCTACAACAGTAACAGTGTGTGTGGGCGGGCGAGCGAGCGAGCGAGTATATGTGTGTGGGTGGGCGAGCAAGCAAGTACATGTGTGTGGGTGGGCGAGCGAGCAAGCATGTGGGTGGTTGGATGTGGGCGTGTGTGTGTGTGCATGTGAGCGAGCGAGTATATGTGTGTGGGTGGGTGAGCAAGCAAGCACGAGGGCTGGGTGGTGGCATGTGTGTGTGTGCGCATCCACCCTTTCTTTTATTTTCAATAAATGAACAAAAGGGGGGACACAAAACAAACAGGTGCAAGAAAAACAACTGCCTACCGGGGGGCACAAAACGAGAGCCGCGCTAGAAAAATGAAGGAAAAGGAAAAAAAACAAAAAAAAGGGGGGGCATAAAATGACAGGCGCTAGAAATGAAAAAAGGAAAAGGCCCCCCCCAAATCGACAGCCGCAGCCAACTGAGGAAAACAAAACAGGCATGAGAAATGGAAAAAGGAAAGGGGGACACAAAACAACGGGCAACCGGGGAAAACAAAGAAAAAAACAACCGCCCGCATATCGGTTGGCTCGCCTCCAAGATGTTCGTAAAAAGGGGGACCCAAAAGGACAGCAAACCGGGGAAAACAAAACAGGCGCGAGAACTGAAAAAAGGAAAAGGGGGACACAAAAGGACAGCAAACAGGGGAAAACAAAACAGGCCCGAGAAATGAAAAAAGGAAAAGGGGGACACAAAACGACGGCCAACCAGGAAAAAAAAAAAAAGGGTCGCCCGCATATCAGATGGCTCCCCTCCAAGATGTTTGTCCGCATCAACGCCAGCCGTGTGCACCGCCCACGGGGCGCGCGCTCTCGTTTAATGGGGCGCTGTGAACATCGGTACGCGCACTCCTCTGCACACTCCCCCGCCCTCGCCTTCATCCGCCGCCCCTCACCAAAACTTCGACCCAAATCCGAGGCGCAGCGCGTCATGGACCTCCCCCACGCGGCCAATGCTGCTTAAACCACCCCTACCCCCGCCAGCCTAAAGTCAATTTTCCGGGGAGTTAGGGCCGTGAACGGTGCGGGGTCAGCGACCAAAAAAAAAAGGAAAAAAAGGCATCTGAAAGTTGTGAAAAAGTCGGCGCGCGGTTTCCAGTGATTCAGAGCTGCACTTTTCATTTTCTTTTGTTCTTTTTTGTGGGAAAAAAAGACAAAAAAAGCCACGCAGTGAACCTTGCAGCACAACACAGAAATATACACTGCAATCATCCATGCGTGTCAGGGGAAGTGGATTGTGGCACGAAATGCGGTGGGACCTGCAGTTACGTTTTCGTTTTCTTTTTGCAGAGTAAAAAAAAAAAAAAAAAAAACAAGAACAAAGTGAGGCCCACCCTGTACCGGTCCCCCTGACATTACGACGTCGGGGGGGCTGGTGGTTCAAGGGATAGGATAATAATAAAAATAATAGTATAAATTATATAATGTAATCCTGTAAAAGCATGTAGTTGAATATATACCTGATGTTCTCCAGATCCTTCACAAAATCGCGTGCAAATCCACGATATGCATCTGGCGAATATATACCTAAAAACAAGACCAGAACAGCAATGAACTTTGACATTGGGCTGAACATGCAAAATTTCGACATCTGCAGGGCGAAGGAAAATAAAAATGGGCCCAAAAACACTGTCCAATCCTCAAGGGTTTCAAAAAAACAGAAATGATCAGTCCAGGAAACAGTGCCAAGCAGTTAAAAAAGACACGTGCGCAACCATGCCAACCGGACATGGAATTTCCTTGAGAAAAGGGAAACACAACAAACAGCAAGTTCTCCTGCTATGCATGTGCTAAGAAACTATGAACCTGACCACTTTATGACCAGGTTCATGATTCACTGGTGTTATGCTTCTACTAAGAAGGTATGAAACTCACCATTTTTATGACCAGGTTGATGCTTTCTGAGTACGAACATAGTACCACTGGTTGCAATGCCTCGGGCATGAAGGCAGCCACTGCTGAAACAGGCCCCGTCCAGCAGGGCAGTCCTGGGGTGAGTTCCCACCAGCAAAGAGGACTGGATTGAACATCTGAATCTGGACGCGTTCGTGGAGAGATGCAGAAAATCATAATTCAGATTCATCTGCTTTTCTACATCTCCGCAAAAAAAAAACACATCTAGATTCAGACGCTTAATCCAATCGTCTTTGTTACTTTAACATTGCCCCTGGATAAGAAGGCGATATAACTGGAACATAATCCCACAACTGCCACTTTCAGAATGCACATCCGTAACATGATAACTTTGATGTGATAAGCTTGACAGCAGAAATTTTTCCCATGGCAAGTGAAGACGGGCAGGCGTACCGCCGGAACCTGGCCGTGATTTGGGCCAGATTCAGGCCTACCCTGGCCCATCGTGCCTTGGCAACACCCGACGTGGCATTTTTTCCAAAACCTACATGACTACACCGCATTTGAAACTCGGCCTGCGACTAGACTACAAAAACCTGTGCCAATTGTTGAAAATCGAAACTTGGGCGAATGGCCTGCGGCTCAGCGGTCAGAGCACCGGTGCAAACTGCGCATTGTGGTATGAGGTTGCAGCGGGTTGTGACCGCGGCAATTCAGACCTGCCCTTTTGCCCATGCGGCCGGAGGGCATTGACCAACATGGCCATTTGCAATACGGGTTGTGTGGGTCGGGATTTGTTTCGGGGGAGAGTGGGTTTAGTTGGGGAAGAGTTGGAGGCCAGGGAACGCTACTCTCCTAGCCGGTGCGATTGGGCGCCCCTTTGGGCAATAGGCGACAGTGGTGCATGGTTGGCCTCCCGGCAGGCTGCACTTGGGGTTTGAGCTCGCGCCTGAGTTGGAGTGTGGTGGACTCCATTCCCGGCGGCTGAGTAGTGTCGATCCTGGTCGAGACCTTCCCATGGGTGGTCGAGGTTGAGTCCTGTAATTGAGAGAGATGTGTGAGAGAGTGAGCCCACCCCGGCAGTTCGGGAAGACTCGGTGCATCGGCCCTCCTGTCGGGACTCCCTCTGCACTGTCCCCTCCTCCCTCACAAGCTTATACAGAAAAGGGGCGGAAAAATGCAATCAGACTCGCTTTCATTCACACTTTTCATGCATGCAAACAGTAACGCAGCAAACTGGCGACATGCGCCCACTCGAAACTCAGAGATATGGCAACCCAGATACGAGTTCACATTCAATGGCTATGGCGACTCAGCGCCCAGACAACTCTCTGTTCGCATACACCGGATCACCCTGGATATCCCACACGCGTCTCTCTGAACACTCACACACACACACACGCTGAATACTAACTACAGCTATGGTGGCTATGGCCACCTCTACCCTATCGCTATGCTACGCTCCTTCTCTCTTGCCCACTTCGGCTCCGGGCTCACTGCAGACCTCCTTGCACAAGTCGCTGTGGCAGCGCTTCCGCATGGCTCACGCAGGAATGAATGAATGACTGGGCGCTGCCTCTTGATTTATACTTCTGAAGCTCGTTGGTCTGCCGTTTTCCATCGGCCCATGGTGCTCACAGTCCCTCGTGGTACTTGCTGGACTGGACTGGGACTGACTGGACCTTACCGCTGAATGAATGGGGACTCACAGCTATCCTACCGCTATCGTACTGCGAACGTGCTGCAGTTGGTCCACCACTTGCCCACTTGCCCACTTGCTCGACCTTCTAGAAGGACTACAGCTAAGACTTCTGGAACTCACTAAGACTTCTATTCTACAGATCTACAGATCGAACCCCTGCTACCTACGGACCCTACGACAGTCTACTAACTGTTACAAATACACAGGTCGTGGGTTCAAGCCTTGGGGTCGACACAGATACTGTACACCGGTAGGGTAAGGGCTAGGGATCGAGCCCTGGGGTCTGCATCTGCTACTGCAAAAGGTGAAAACCGTTTCACTCCCGCCGTCCTAAATTCGAGGTCCTCAGAGAATAGCTTAGTCCAAGGCAGGACCTTTACCTTTCCTATCACGCTTGTAGGCTTTGACTATGTCGGGAGCTGTTTCTAGAAGTTCTGTTCTAGTAAACCAGCGGTCGTCCTCCGGTTCCTGATAGGCAAACCGGACCTTATACTGTTTCTGTGGACGACCTCTACCTCCTGTCCTAAACACATCTTCATCTACAATGCCCGTCAATATCATATCTGCCATGCATATCCGGAGGGATCATGGATCTTCTTGAAGGGAACTGTTGACTTGTGACACACGGCAACAACTTTGAAGCATGGAACACCGGGTAGGTGTGGAGGTGTGCTGGGATTTCTATAGTGTAGGACGGTCCATCCTCTCCGCCCTTGACTTCTAGAACCGGCCACGGTCCTCTATATGCAGTCAGTAACTTCTGCGAGATGTTCTCCTCAGGCGCAAACTCTTTAGACTTGACCCAGACCAGGTCGCCTACCTGAAACTGCGATGGGCGACGGTGCTTATTAGCCTGTTCTATCATTCGGTGCTGGCCTTCCTGAGGTTTTCAACAACAGTTGCTAGCTCTTTCTCGTGCGGTATCACGAACTCCCTGGTACCGGGTGGTAGCCTGTGAATCTGATCCCGGGTAAGTCCCTCAAACGGTCTGCGGGGTCTAAAGGACTTGTGTAACTCGTTGGGAGTGCGACAAGTAGACAAATGCACGCTGTTATTGTATGCGCTGGCTACCTTGGGCAACATCTCGTCCCAATTGACTTGATCCGGTCTAATATACATGCGCAGAACTTGCTGCAGGATCTTGTTCATCTGTTCTGTCTGACCGTTAGTCTCTGGATGACGGCCAGATGACATCAGCAACTTTGATCCATAGACTCTCATTAGTTCCTGCCAGTTCTGACTCGTCAATCTGGTGTCTCTATCACTAACTATAGACAGCGGAACCCCGTGATCAAAATTTTTTTGAATGACTAATTCGGTGCGTGCCTCTGCAGGCAAAGGAAACTGCGTATTTACTGAACCTATCAACTATGACCATGACTTGGCTCTTGCCGTGCCTACTCTTGACACCGGCATCCATAAAGTCAATGGAGACTGAATCTCCAGGTTGGTCTGGGATAGGCAAGGGTCTGAAAAGACCTAGAGGGGCACGCGTAGTGGTCTTGTTCGTCTGGCAAACTTTGCAACTGCGAACATACTCTATGCAGTCAGCTTTCATTCCTGGCCAGGTATACGCACGCATCAGATTGGATAAAGTCTTTTGCCAACCAAAGTGTCCCTCTATGTCGTGGCATTCCCCTAAGATCATACTACGGATCTCCTCACTGTTGGGAATGCACAGGCGGTGTGCTACATTAGTCTTCTCAAACAATAGTCCCTCAGTAGTGCGGTAGTCTGGTTCGGTCTCTGGGGCCTCCTTAACTCTCTTGAGGAGGTCACTATAGATAGGGTCCTGCGCATACGCCTGTCTAACTTTCTCTTGCAGGTCCTTCCCTATATCGAGATAGTGTACTAAAGCTCCAAAGTAGTCTGATCTCCTACTTAGAGCATCCGCAACTGCATTGTACTTGCCTTTGACCGGTTTGAGCTCAAAGTCATACTCGTCTATCTCAGCGGCCCACCTAGTTAACTTAGGTGTCATTTTGGCCTGTGTCTTTAACCATCTAAGCGTCTCGTGGTCTGAGTACACTTTGAAGTGCCTCCCAAGCAGGTAACGCCGGTCAACCCTGGTCAATGGCGGCCGGCTTCACCTTCGTTGCCACCCTTCACCTTCCTTCCCTTCACCTCAACTCTTCCCTCTTCACCCTGACTGTCTTTTTTTTTTTTTTT